TGATGCCTAATTAGTTGCTTAGCCAGTTTATCATATGGATGGGGTTTGTTTTGAATCTGGATGAGTGTACAAAGTTCTACATACTCTTCTTCCAATGAGTCTCACTATATGTTGTTTTTTTTTTTTTTAATGTTCCACTATATGAAAGATAAGTAATTACTTACAAGATGCTATAATCTTGAAAGCACTAAATTGATATTTTCTTGAACTTCTTATTTTAACCAAAGAAAGAAGAAGATATTCTCTAAACTCGAAGGCATGCAATTATTGTGTATTTTGGATGTCCATATAAATAAAAGATATTATAAAAAAAAGTATATACATTAATTAAAGATATACACTACTGAATGAGAGTTGTTGTGTAGTTATGGAGAGTGATGGCTAGTTAGTTAGATGTACTCGTCATTTGTCAATTTTAAGAAAACGAAAAATCTTTTGGACATTCCGACAATTTTGTTATATTCATCTTGGCTAAGATATTTGCTGCCGTCAATTATCGGATCAATTATCTAAAATACAAATTATTTTTGTTGGGAAAGAATTCTCTTATATATATGGTTCTTAAAAGTTAAGGTAATGAAAAATACGATGATGACGATTAGTAATTTGTTGCTTCAAGAAAAGAGCATCCTCTACACGTCAAAGGTAACAACCAAAGGTCTCTTTTTCGAGTATAGTGCTAATGATACACGAGTTACTTTTCATCCCACTTGTACACTTCATAGCTATATGTATAACTTTAGAAGAAAATCCCCCAAAAATGATAACGAGTTCTTGAAAACAAAACTGATCACAAATAATCAAAAACAACCGATCAGGCTAAAATGATTCGATGGAAGAACAAAAGATAGTAAAAATCAAGCTTTACTGGATAAAACACACGAACAGAAAACCAGCCAATTTCTAATTAAAATGTTTTTCAACGATTTTGCCTTACATTTAACTATTACTCTCTCTGTATCATAATACATGATGTTTTATGAATTTTTTTTGTATCAAATTAGTTGATGTTCTCATTTTTCTATGCAAAAATTTAATATTTTTTTAGTTTTTGTGATTTTTTAATTTCTACAGTATTTTATATAATTGGTTGAATTAATGTTGTTTAAATAATAAATAATTTTTTAATATAGAAATGCATAAAAAATTACATTATTTATTTGATTTTTTAATTGTTGTGTCATTACCTTAAAAATCATGTTTTGTGATACAGAGGGAGTAGTTAGGTAGTATGATGTTTTTTTTTTCTTAAAACCGTTGGAGTTCCGAATCTTCGATACATAATCTCTCATAACATGTTATTTGAATTCTCGTAATATGTTCTTGTCTAGTTGAGCATTTATTTTATTAAAAAGATGTTAGGGTTTGATATGTATTTTGAGAGTAAATTATATGATAAATTAAACGTTCGTATTAAAATAATATATAATACATAAACAAATAATATGTTACGGAAAAAACAGTCCGCTTCTCGTAACATGAATGACAAAACGAAAATAAAATTTATTTTGATACTATTTGAAAGCAATTGATCATATAATCACCATTTACTTAATTTTTCTTGACAAAGTGACTCTATTTTTTTGTTTCTCAAAAAAGACTCACTCTTATTTTTATTTAAACTCATTAATGGTTCTTCAAAAGATATCAAAATATGTTTTTATTCATTCCAAAGCTTCGAGTTGGTGTCTGGTGAGAAACTATATTGCTAATAAATTTATGGAACGTGATTTAGTAAGACTAAAGGTTCTTTAAAGGTATCTCAAGAAATGGTTTATACATTCCAATGGTTCGAGTTGGTGAGAAAGTACTATATCTTGCTGATAAATTTACTGCGAAAGATATAGTGAAACCCCGTGAATTACTAGTAAGACTTTAATAGCACCAAATAATGGAATTATTATTAGACCAAAAATATATATTATTTTTCAACGAGGTCGGAATATATATATATGGGAGTACTAGTAGTAAAATAGGTAACAAATGAGTTTTATGCAATACATGTAGAAAACCCACGTAAGAATATTTTGAAAAGGTCTTCCTTACCACTCCGTTGAAAACTTCTTAGGCATACTCGCTTACCTTATTGGTTTTTTGGTCATAGTTTGATACCAATGTTTTTGTATGAAAATCATTTACAATCGTGTAGTACATTCCACACGATGATTTGGATAAAAAAGTTCGAACTCATTCTAAACCTTTATAATTTTTCAGTATTAGCAATTTAGCACAAAAACGTTTCTCTCTTGATCTCTATGTTTTGGTGACCCATCTTGAAGTAGGAGACGACCTTTTAATTGTTCAAGTCACTACTCCACAACATGGTAACAGGTGACCGAATAGTTAATTCTGAAGAATTTTGAACGTTGTTTCTTTTTGGAGGACTTTTAATCTCATGGCTTGGCATAAAGAAAACAATAATTGGCTGAAAAAATAAATAATTAGTGGTGTAGATGAACCAAAAAAAATCGACAGTTAAGTTAAGAACTTTTAAACTTACTAGTATAAATTTTAAAATCAGCTGCATTATCCATAAAATACTTTAATTAATAGGATGCTTCAAAGCATAGTTTGCATCACATACTTGTTATGAAATTCTCTGATGTACGGTATTCTTGTTAATAATAAAGTTAACTTAAAAGCATCACTTACGTGTTGTGGAATTCTCCCCCGCACGGTATTCATATGTTCTTTGTGTCGTATCTTCTTGTTTTTTTTTCCTTTTAACGTATATATATCTTCTAGTTCTTCCAAAAAAAAAAATTATGTCTAGTCTACTATATATAGTTATGATGATATTATCGGCAAGGCACCATCACTAGCTATAGCATAATCTAAATCCACATAAAACAAAAAACATTTATGAATAAGCTATGTAATCTAGTTGTAACTATAAAGATTTATTTTCGTGTGTGTTTAGAGTCATGCATTAATTTATAAGAAAACTTGACAAGCAAGATCCTCACTTCATCTTGAAGAGAAATTTATTGTTTACCATCATCTTGAAGAGAAATTATAATTTGACCGGACTCACTTCATCTTGAAGAGAAACTATGATTGTTTATATTACGAGGACATGGGGTGGTCATATATATATGGGGTCATTCATACGTTTGGAAGCTAATATTTGTATCACGTGCTACCATTCTCCTAAAATACGACCCATGCACCATGGCATTGGACACGAAGCCCACTAAACCAATTTTGTCCCTTACAGTTCACTTTAACATGTTTTAGTTAAGTAGACCACCTAATTGGAGCGTATCGACACAAATTATGATTTGTGTTAGACAATTATTTGACCACAATAAAAGCCATTATACCTAAAAACAACTTGTTTTGTATGTTTCTCAAAAAAAAAAAAAATTGTTTTGTATGCTTGGTTATCCTGGTAAAAGTTTGTCCACGATAAAAAAAAGCCCATTAGACGAATTGGAGTATTCTTTTTTGCTACAAGATGAACTGGAGATTAAAATCGTGTGTTCGTCACTTTAATGGATCCATAAGATCTATCGAATCATCTAATAGATCCAGACCACATGTTAATGTTCGTTCGAATCGTCAATTATGTTTGTATATGTTCCTTAAAAATATATACAAAGACAATTTTTGTTATGGAACAAAAACAATTCATATCTTACTATGAAGTACTATTATAAATTGAAGATATTTCGGAAACTAACATTACAAATATCAGAGTTGTAGTGAATTCTCAAACATTGTGAGTTTAATTCACTTCTGAGAAAAACATAAGTCATAGAAAACAAAAACTACTCTCTTATATTGAAATAATAAATTCCTTATGGCTAGTAGTTTATAAATGAGACCTTAACCTCGAACCTAACTCGGTAGTTTTTTCAGTTTTAAAATATTATCTTGAATTTGGTTCGAGGAGTCTCATTGATGAGGACTCGAGAATCAACGTAGAGACGACTATAAATAAACAAAACACCAAATTGAAATATTGCTTTGCCTCTTTTTCCAAACGGCTAGTTACATGATAATGTTGAAATCAATATAATAATATCCAAAATCAAACTATTGATTCCTCGAATCTTTTTTTAATTAACTATTATTTCCCACAGTTCCCAAGAGGCTTTCCACAGAGACAGTCATTGTAAGCGAACGACGTCGCGTCAAGCCGATCAAACGGAGATCCCGCTGGAATCTTCCCACACAGATGGTTATGGCTCACGTCAAGATGTCCGATAAACGAAGCCGCCGTGATACTCGCCGGAATCGGTCCTTTTAGACGGTTCTTGGAAAGATCAAGAACCGTGAAGTACGACCTCGGTCCGAACGTGTTTGGTATCTGTCCAACGATAAGGTTCCCGCTCAGATTCAGATTCGAGATAGATGACGTCATCAGTGTCCCCGGAATCTCGCCGGAGACCAAGTTCCCGTCGAGGTTAAGCGTCGCGAGCACCGACATTTTCCCTAACGAAGCAGGGATTGGGCCGGTGATTCTGTTCATGGCGAGCTCGAGATCACCGAGACGGTAGATCCGGGTCAGAGATTCGGGTATTTGACCGGAGATTTTGTTACCGGTTAGCAGCAAACGGCTAAGCATCTTTAACCGGCCGATGTCTACCGGTATGACTCCGGTGACATTGTTGTTCCTGAGATCGAGATGCGATAAACTCGTTAATCTTGTGATCGACGTAGGAATCCCGCCGGAGATTTGGTTATCGGCAAAGTTCAACACTTTAAGCCTCTGTAATCTTCCGATATTCGCCGGAATCACGCCGGATATTCTGTTTCCGACGAGATCTACGACTCTCAAGAAAAGTAGATTCGTGATGCAGTTTGGAATCCCACCGGAGATTCCTTTCCAATCCGCGATTATGATGGTGGAGAGGCTAGTGAGTTTACATATAGCGGGCGAAATGGAGCCGATCATTAACCCGCTCCGTTTCGCCCGCTGGAAAATCGGGTCTTCGGATTCTCCTCGGAGGGTAATGCCGGCGACCCGGTGAGTATTGGGATCGCAACTCACACCATACCAACCATTGCAGCAGTATTGGCCTTTCCACGTGTCAAAAACTCCAATGTAAGGCTCCTTGAGCTTAGCTCGGAACTCGAGAAGCGCCGCGCGATCTGACGGTGTACAAGCTTGGACCACCGTGGAGCTACCGACAAAATGCAATACGACTACGACGTTGCACAATGCAATCACGAACGACTTCTTCATAGCAACCATTGTTCTGATCGAACAAGAATGCAGACTCTCTCTCTCTATATCTATCTACAAGAATCTTTAAGTGAGATCAATGTATTTTATGAGCTCAAAGAGGTTTACATGGAAGTGAGTTAAGAATGGTGTTATATATGTATTTATAGTCATATTGATGGGCATTAAGACGACGAAATATTACTTTAGTTGCTTCGTTGAAGCTTCGCATCTATTGCCACGTAACATACTTTGCATGCCACTTTTATTCCGGTTAATGTTGTTAGATAATCATTCTTGTCGAAATAAGTAGATCACTTTACTTATAACATTGTTTTGTTGTTTCTATTAAGTTTTATGAGTTTTGTTTAGNAAAAAAAAAAAAAA